TGCTATTTTCTTCAAGGACCAATAAGATATCTACTGGCTTCTCTGACAACGTAGCAGCAAGTATTACCTCCTCCTAAGTTTTGATACTGGTGCAAAATGGTTTGTTTTTGTTTTTGACCATGAAGGTGGTGGTTTTAAGGTACCCGCATATGGCCATCGTGCACGGCCCTCGGTTTGCCAGGCGAACAGAAAACCAACAGGTGTTGCAGCAAATGAAGCGGGCAAGCAAACTGGTTCAGATATAACTGATGCTACCCTATTTAAAAAGCCTCTGTGTTTTTCTAATTAGCTTCAAAACCAGAAACATGGCAAACCTAGGATAAATATTGGAGATTGCTTTTGAAAAATGGAGAGAGGTTAGAACACCGAAATCTTTCAAGACAGATGCTGAGCTGGTCAAACACTGAAGCTTCAGATATGGCAACCGGCGTGCACATCAGTTTAAGGGAGGAAAAGTCAAGGGGAGATGGCTCTCTCTATTGTTTAATAACTTGGACTGCAGTACCATTTTTAACACTAGGTGTCTGAGTTGCATATTGCTCCTTTAAGTTTAGTGTTTTTTGGGCCATTCTTCTCTTTATTGGATAAATCAGCTGAACAGAGACATATAGGAGAGAGTGGAGATGACTGAGCAATCCAGAGAAAATGAACTGCCAACCGATAATCCATAAATCGCTTCAGTAATTTTTCAATCAAATTGTCTAAAAATTAGCTGGTTCCAGCTTTTATAGCAAACATTGTTTTTCTTTTCTGTCTTTCAAGATAATTGATGAAGAGTGTCTTTGACTGTGGATTGGTCAAAAGAAGCAAAATTAGGACACCACTTTGGTCTTTTGGGGGATTTTCTTTTTTAGATTTTAGAGATTTAAAAAAATTATCACAAGTAACATTGTCAGATTAATTGATAGTAAATGTAACAATAAGAAGCAGCCCTAGTTTAAAACACATGTACGTCCAAAACAACCCCCACCCATGTGTTCAACAGGCTATAAACTAAGGTTATAGGAGAGGCAGGCATTAGGTCTTTACTGCTGTTGATTTGAGCAGGATTCATTCCCCTGTTCTGTAGGTTTGTCTTACAGTCAGGGAAACAGCACAAAGGTGCTGTGGTGTCTTTGTAGCGCTGGTTTTTGAAATACCGTAGTGCCATGTTTCTGTGTCTGACAAAGCCCCGGTCAGTGGCTGGCAGCTCAGCAGCCTTTTACCATCATTTTTCTCTAAGCTTTCTGTATGTGTGCTCTAACTTTTTTTCTGTCACCTTTTAAATGTCATAACTCCTCCGAGGAAAAATCAGCCCTGCCTGTTCAAACACCTCTGCTTCTTCTATCCAGCGTTCCCTGGCCAAGGCCACGCTCTCATGACAGATTATCCGCTGAGGTTTTACAGCGCTTAGTTCGCCTCTTCACACTAATTCACTGTTTTTTTTCAGTCAGTGCACTGCTATTATCCACTGCTTTCTTCTGTCAGCTTTGGGACTGGTTCGATGGAGATGGAGGCATGGGGCGTTTCAAGTGGTATTACAATCAATCAACCCCTGTACTGCTTGTCGTCTTCAATCAGAATTAAAGTTAAAAAAATTCATATTTGACAAAAATTTGCCTTTGGAGCATGAGTCCAGTAGCCCATTACAAGAAAGTTAGACTAACAGAAAAACTGTTAGTTTAGCAAAATTCTGTGAGCCTGTCATGAAGCAATACACTGTAAGCCAAACTGCGCCACTCTTAGCATGCCTGGCAGGCTAAACCTTAGATGTCTCCAAATGCTGGTGGTAGTTAACACAGTATTTATTATTTTTGAATGCTTGAATGGGGGGGGTCAGGGTGGGTGGAAAAAAAGGGCTGGAAACAGGTCAGACAGAATTCCAAGAGTAAAAAAACTGCTTTAGGTTTTAGTGAAAAAAGACAACAAGCATAAACATGAACAGTTTATAGTTTAACATGTCATGCAGCTAACGTTATCTTAGTGTCTCCCAGCTGTAGATGAAAAAAAAGCCTTTAAGCCTAGTTAACAAAATATGCATTCCACCAAAAATGAAAGGTTGCTGGCTAGCTATCCAGAAATGAGATGCCTACTTACTACGTCTTTCTGAAAAACAAGAAACCATAGATTCAAATCTATGAAATTAAGTTGGAATAGTTTATCTGCTTTAGTTATTGCAAAATGAAAGATGTTGGTGTTGTAAGGCAACGTGAACAGGCATATTGCCAGGGAAAGGAACACAGAACAAGACAAGCCCTTTCACATTGGAGAGTATTGCCTTTTGAAGAAGGTTAGGTTTTCTGTGCCATGTTGCGAGTCAATAGCAGGATCATGGAAAATTTGCAATTTTATTCAGACTTGAGGGGAGGCTATAGCATTAGCAAAGAAATAACCCTTTAATTTTGTCCAGCCCATCTGCATGTTTCATCTCACAAAAGTGGAATGAATACTTTGGGATCTTCTATAAATCCAGATTGTGCTTACTTGCAAATCCTAAAAATGTGTTGCCGTTCTTTTCTGTAGTATCCTAATTACTTCAATATGTTTAGAACTTCATGTCGGATTTACTTGGATACGTTTTGCAATGAAGGCACTTTTTTACTGCATCTGAAGTTTGAATTGGATAGAACTGAATCAAATTTGAATTGAGGACTTGGAGAACATGCAGCACCACAGATTTGACGTCTTTACCAATTCACAATCATGTAAGGAGAGGGAAGAGAACAGATTTGAGTGTCATTATAGTTCAAAGGAGATTTCCAATATGTTTTTGTGCACAGCTACTGTACATGAGAAGCCACACGTTTCCTCAGTTTGAAAATGCTGTATATATGACTTCAGCCTGAACAGAAACTCCTAGACAAACGTTGCTTGCAGAGAGGAGAGGAAAAGAGTTTGCTTGTCTAGACTTAGGAGGATCTGACAGGCCATTCAAAACTGTCAGCAGTCTGTGGGTTTATAGTCTTAGATAATGAAAATCTCCCTGTGCTTGAAATGAAGTTCAATAATGTTGACAAAGTAATCTCAGCTGAAGTCTTGTTGTCAGAGTAAGTAGACAGGACCGGGCATCTCTGAATGAATCGTGAGTAATTTGCACTGACTTTGTTCTCAGTGGTGGAAAACATCATCCATTTGAAAAGAGATTTTACGCAGTAATCATAGAGACAATGAACATTTGATATGAGTTTATAATCAGGTATTCTTAGGAACAGCTTCCCTGTGGATAAATGGCAATTTAAGTCACAGCTCCTGTTTCAAAACTGCTTTTGTCAGCTATGGAACAACCATCATTATGTTTAATTTAGCTTCCTACTCTGTATTTTTCATGTCAACTACTGAGAAGTGGCCCTGTGCTGAGACAAAAACATCATTCAGTGTGTCATTTGTTTTGTTGAGAGAAAAAATATAAAAAGTAATAGACAAAGAGAGTTTTTTCTATTTTACATTTGAGATGTTGTGCTTAAAGGGGAAATACTGAAACGTAACAATTGGTGTTGCAGTCCAGATTCAAAACATTGAAGTTGTCCACCCCGCTCCCTTCTCCCTACAGTCGATTTTCCTGCAGGTTGCCATAGAGATGGGCGATATGGGAAAAATATCATATCACGATTTTTTTTTTGGCAAAATCACGATCACGATTTTATCACAATTTTTTTCATACTGATCTTATCAAATTTGTAAGTTACTGACCAGTTCAACCAAACTTATTTCCCTGTATAATGTTTTTAAATGCACAAAAACGGTGCTGACAAGTTTACTCTATTTGAAAAACATCTTTGTAGGCAGTCTGGAGGTCTCACCCAGAACATCTTTAGCATCAGAAATGTCTTTCCCTCAATTTGATCAATATTTATGCTCAATTTGAAGGTTTTCCTCACCACTTTGAAATTATGATTTAGTTATGTGTCCTCTTTTTATGTTCATCAGGAACATTTTCACGCAGTGATGCATTCATTTAAAAATATTTAGACTTCGAGTTCTTGTGTTTCTGTTCTATTTTAGACCTGCAGAGTTCCTACAGCTGTAGCTTCATACAGGCTCTGCAGCCTTTGTTGTTTTTTATGACATCATTGGACTAACTTTAGTTTAGTTTATATATAATCAAACATAAGACGCGTCTGTGTCGGAGCATAAACTGCAGCATGATAGAATAAACACATTAGCCCGGTTCTATGATCTCCCTGCTTTGGCAGATCGTCAGCAAGTTAAAATCCTTCACGATCTAAGATCGTTATATCGCCCACCACTAGGTTGCCATGTCGCAGACCCTGAAGCTTCAGTATTAAACCAACTCTACATCGGTCTATTTTTCAAAAGCATCTCCCATATTTATCCTCGTTTTACCATGTTTTTAAGTCATCGAGCTTACTAGAAAAATGCAGAGGCTTTTTTGGGTAGAATCAGTTATATCTAAACCAGTTCACTTACCCGCTTCCATTACTGCAACACCTTAGTTGGTTTGCAGTTTGCCTGTCAAACCAAGAGTTACCCCAATACTCCCATCGGCCGTTTAAGAGTGCCTTAAAACTGCCTATACTTCTCTGGTCATAAGAATTTTGGCTAAAAAGAAACATACATCATCAACGACTTGAAAATTAACCCTTTTATAAGACAGTAAAATTGTTATGCTAGTAACTGTTGAGAGGTCACTAATTCAGAGTCAATTTGGACAAAACTTAGAGTTTCAGTTCCTCTCCTTGACATTTTAAAACATGAAAGCATATGAGGCATGAAAAGGTCTCCATTGACTTTCCTCTCCCTCTGACACCCAGTTGTCTTATCCGTGTTCCTCTGTGTGACCCATTATCTACCCCGACCTACAATTATCTATTCTGGTACTCAAGAGAGCTTCAAGTTTAACCTTTCAGTCAGAAGTGAACTCCCAAACTTCCTTCAGTCTGCTTTTTCACTGAAATTGTTTTGAACCAACCCACAGTGAAATAATGCACTGTACGTCACAGACATGATCCGTGTTTCTTTAACATTTATTCTTATTTTTCTGCTTTGTGATTGGTTAACAGAGGTGTGTGACGGCCCACTGCTGACCAATTTGCCGCCATCATCGTTCAGAAGCTCCTCCCAGCTAACCAGCAGCCATGGGCCGGTCTTTGCTAAAGTCAACAGGAGAGAAGGTGAGACATTGTTCCTTTTTTTTTGTCTTTTGTAAAAACTTTAAAAAGGTATATGACCTGAATCTATGTACAAGACAGATTCAGGTCATATATATATATATAGGTCATACAGTATATTGTCATTAATAATGAACGAGCTGTTTCCGGCTTTGATGCACAACTACGCTTGCTTTGGCAAACCCGGTGTTGAATATTTGAAAGAATGAATTTGTTACGCAGCAGCATTCATTACTCAGACTAAATATAATATAGCAGCACATTGACATAAATGTCTTATAAAACCAAATAAATCTGCAAGCTCACAATGTTTTCTTTGGGAAATGCTCGTCCCTTTAAAAGTCAGATTAACTTTTATCTAACACGATTGAAGGCAGAACAATCACAATGTTTATAGTGTTGTTTGGGTCGAAGTGCAGCTTATTAAACTATGAACGTGGCTTTTGACTGTTCTAAATCCACTCTCACACCAGTGATCAACCAACTGGATAATAGTTCATGTAACGTCGGAATTGTTAGTGTTAGCTACTAAACCATCTGATACCAAATCTCTATAGGTTTTGTCATTTCAATGGTTGTAGCATCTAGCGCCCTTTTTAATCTGTTCCTATTTATGATACATCTTGTATATTCTCATGTGAAAAATGGTTGGAGATGCCATGATGCCTCACAAACGATGGTACATTGATGATTTGCATTCAGGGCCTTGATTGGTTGCACTTGATCAATAAGGGTGTATCCACCTGAAGCCCTTTACTGAGTGTGATTCCACAGCAGCGCCATAACGAAGCTATACGCAGCCTCACTCTCACATGTAGGCTTCCTCTGCTTCCCTGGCACACTCCTGATCACCCAGCTCTCTGCCTGACCCTGCCACACACGTCTCCTCCAGTGCCTTTATAAACAGTTGGTACAGCGAGCATGACTGTCACGTTTTGTCGCATTAATAGTCTTTTGAATTTAAGCTTCATTGCACATTCAAGTTATAGTTCTGACACTCACGTTTCATGTCCTGGGGAGGGGGAGCTGAGGAGATGTTTCTGGTCCAGGCAACTGTTATTAAAATATATACAAACAAAAAAAACCCTACCTGCCCCAAAGTGCGTCGGCCCACTGGGAAAATGCTTGGTATGACAGGTTACCAGTGCAGCCTTAGCTTCAGTCTTTGTTGCAACGGTCGCAGGTTCCTGATGCTTTTTGCTCTCTCTTCCCACTTTTCCTGCCTCTCTACAGCTGGCCTATCCTATGAAGGTAAAAAGTAAGAATCTTTTTAGAAAAGTTGGTTCTTGGCGTCCTGAGTAGTAAAAAAAAAAAGAGACAAAGATGTACGTTTAGTCTTTTTTCATCCTTTTATGACTCCTTTTTAAATATTTATTACACCCAACTCAAACATCAGAATGATGATTAAGAAGATGACAAAATAACTCGTGAACCCTTTAAAACAATTCCTCCAATTTCACACTTTCTGGAACTATTTTGTTGAAAAATTGTTTAAACGCAAGAGGTTCCTGTTAACTTAAGCATCATGGTTGCACGCTTAGCCCCTATTGGTCTGTTGCAGCTGTGACCTGTATCATTTTCACACAGATGTCTTCAAAGTCTAAACAGTGAGAGGGGTTGCGAGTGTGCTGGCCACCCATGGAAAGTTGTTCCTTGTGCAGCTTTAAACTTTATGCACTCGGTCAGATGTTGGCATTGACTCTCTTGGGGCAGCTCAAGGCCAGTGAATTGTTGGGAACAAAATTGGAAAAGCAATGTCCCTTAGCTGCATCTCCATCTCTTGACTGAGGTGTTTTGTGTTCTGCATTGTGGGCTGCAGTGCTGCATTTTCCTTTACCTCTCTACAGGATGCATAGCACAAAACATCAAAGGAAAACCTCAGCTGGATTCACACAGGCTGAGAGATACCTCTGCGGTGGCTTGGGATAGAGGGAGAGGGAGATAACGACAAAAATAGATGGATAGATGGAAAGGAGAGAGACGGCAGCAATATCTATACCCATCTGTATTGTATATTGGAATGCACTGGTATTATAGACTAGTACATCAAAAAGTCTCCACAGGGCCACCTCCTTGCAACAGGGGTGTAAATCTGAGTTGTGTTTCACCCACCATAATAAAAATTCAAGTGGGTGCTCTCTGCTGGATGCTGATGTGGGGCTTTGTGACGGGCTATCATGGCTCATTCTGGAGTCTTTCATGGAAAACAGTTTGCAGATTTCACCATTTAAAGAGCTCAATGCCTCACTGTCGCACCAGAGCTCAGAGACATCAGGGACTCTGGGATTTCTTTCTCTTTTCCTCCCACTTTAAGAATAATTTCACCAACTTGGAAACAAATTGAAGATAAGCAAAGCAGAGTTTTGTTCTCGGGAAAAGTTTTGGTGCCATTTTCCCCTGTAAACAACTTTTAACACTGCAGGGACGTCTTTTTTTTTACGAGAGAGAGAGAAATTGTTGTCCTCATTTCTTGGCTCTGTGTAAAGGTTGACACAAAAAGCTAATCAAACAGCTGGACCTGGTCCAGTGGCAGCCTGCAACTCGAGGTTTTATTCCCTCAGGGATAAATACAGGATATCAAAATTAACGTTTAAAATATGGGAAACATTAAATACATTTATATTGAGGTTAATCCTCACATCCCAACAAAAGGAAAAGAGCAAGGAAAATAGTTACCATATCCAATTTTGAAGACGCAGTTTACCTCATCTAATCACATGAAGACTCAGATTCAGTTGTCATTGTAAGACAAAGCTTGGGAGCTATAGGAATAACTCTAACTCATAACTCACAATCTGCATGTTGACATTTTCAAAATCCAATAACTATTCCGGGTATTGCATTTAAACAATGGGAGGGGGGTAAACTTGCAACCTGCAACCGTCTCACTGTTTGAAGTAGTATATGTATGTATATAAAGTATGTAGTGTAAGCAAACGTGTTGTCTTTGTAAGGTGCAAAAGTTATGACAAGGCAGCTTGTTAGACAGATAGCTCCCCGTAATTCTTGGAAACTAAAAGAAAAAACTAAAAACTATGTGCCATCTGGAGAGACTACAGAAATAGCATCGTTTTGTTTTGTGTCTTATTTTTCTCAGCTTGTGAATTCCAGGAATCTGCATCAGTGACTTTTGCTCTCCTGATACTCACCAACCATCACAGACTCTAACGCACGGGTGAACAGGGGCAAGGAAAAGAAACATTGAAGAAACATACCATTGGAAGAGTCCTGTCCATCACTTAGTAGTTACACAAGTAAAAAAAAAGATCTATCAAAGGCCAGCGGGAGTGTAGAGGTTACACAACTCCCACATGCCTCCTTGCTCTTTGCTCCTGCCAGTTGGTCCCTGGCAGTAACTTTGACTGTTCACACACGATGGTTTAATCCTATCACAGTGCTGCCTCTAATTCCAGAGTCATGCCCTGCTATGGCTGGGCACCACTGGTAGTTAATCTTATTACTACCACAATGTGCAAAGTGGACAATTAGCATGTCATGAATTTGGGAAGAATCCAGAGCTACGGGTCTTAACGCTGAGTTTGGCAGGAGTCTTCTCAGAGACAGTCAGAGGGCCAAGAAGGAAACAGCTCAGGGCTTAAGGTCTGAGCAGCAAAGGAAAAAGATAAAAAAAAAATTGAGGAACAGTTTATTTGAGAAAGCCTCTCATTTAATAACATGACTGATAATAATAATCCAAGTGATTCTGAGCCACCACTCAGTGCCAGTTGGAATGAATTGCTATCAAATCTCACCTATTTATTGACAACTAAATTTAAACTACATGTGACCTTTCTACATCACATAAATAAATGTCATCTGGAAAAACTAATACCAAGGCAGAAAATGTTGGTTTCTGTGATGTACAGTACATTGGTTGTTCCTCTTAACACTGGTTGTTCAACTCTCCTATTCTTGGTGCCTTAACTGTGCCACTCCTTGAAATATAAATAATGAGGTCAGTTATGCTAAAAAATCTCCTGCACAGTGACAACCTGGTTTTCAAACTCCAAAGCGCTCAATATGTTAATACATCAGCAACAAGTGCCCTTGATTAGTGTCAAACCATAGACTGTGTATACAAATGGACAACATGACTCGGCCTCCTCCTGTTGAACAGGATACAGCCAAAATATCCCCTCTGAGCAGTACGGATCATCTGGAAGAGACGTGGTATTGACGAAAAACTCTAAGCTTCCTGATAAAACTGTAAAATCCCTCAGGTGGTTACAGTCCACAGCATAACAGATTATTTAGTTGGTTAAAAACAGACGGTAACAAGAGACTGTGATACTGGGTTCTGTTCAGCACAACAGACACAGTGTGTGTGTGTGTGTGTGTGTGTGTGAAAAATAACTTTTTTTGACCTGCCCCTTTATTTTAACTGGCTGCATAATGTAACGACGTAGAATATTTTAGGTTTATAGTATTCATTAATAGGCTATTATATGAAGGGAAAAGTTTCAACTATTAAAGAAAATCCTGACATGCTTTTGTCTCGCTCATGAACAGAAAAACATTTATTTTTGTCATTTTTAGCTTTTAGGTGAATTTGTGTGGTTTGAAGTTTTCCCTTGCGGTTACATTTCAAACATTTGAGTTGTCATTAGTTACCACCGCTGAAAAGACCTTATTTCCTCATATGGCTGTTTCACAATAGAAGCATGTCAATAATATGGAGTGGCATGGGTCATGTGTTCTTCATCCTAAGGACATCAATTAGAGCACTTAAGGCCATTTTCTTCAGCACAAAGGCATCATTTAGAGCACTCTAGAGGGTTTTATCTCCCCTACCAGTGAGTCCACCGCCGGTGCTCTTAATGATACCTACTTTAGCCTAAGGATGACTCAATACCACTTTTTTGTTTTACCTGATACCAAGACGATCTATAACTCTTTCCCATGCAACCCTCTGCAACCTTGTTTTATCTGTGTTTACAGGAACACTATAGAATTACATTGTGTTATAAACCATTCTTTAGAATAAATAAACTGCTTGTACAGTA